TAAGCCGGAAAAAACGCCTAGATGCTGTATGCAAAATCCATTACGGAAACTGCGATAAGGTGCATATTGTAAAGACCCACCGGAAGTTGAATACCAGAATCAAAAGCACTATTTGCGGTCCGTCGTAAACAGGCTGAAAATTCCGTTCCAGCATGCGATTACCGAAAACTGTTAATTTCTGTCAGACCAATGTGTCTATTACAGACAAAGACCAAACTAAATTATGTCTGCTGAAAAAGAAGTGCTTGCAGTGAAAAACTGGATATGTAACGAATGTGAATCTTCCGTGGTTATCAATGAAAGTTAGGGCACAATCGCAAAATTATATCAACATGAGAAAGACGATTGATTTTAGCGAAAATATACTTTGCTTGCGGGTTAACAAAGTTTTGAGTGCATATGCTGAATCAATTCAGAGATTGGTATTGCTCGCTTGTTCGAGAGAAATTTCTTCAAGGAATCATTTGTATACAGTCCAGACCTAGAGATGCTACGGCCTATGCAACGAAACGTGTTGGCCATAAACAGTTCTTCCATAAACAGTTGTATTTGCCATGGGTTGAGTTGGCCATGTTGACCTGGATTGTGTTGGCAACAGTTGTATTTGGCGCACACAATGTTGTATTTGGCGCACAGAACCACGAATCATTCAAATACGTATCAATATAATTATGGGTCCAGAACCAGGAACCTAAAGTAAACTACACTCCTGTTCACTGATCTGCAGATGGCACGAAGCTCTGAGTCTGTTGTGTCAAAGAGCTTATTAAGTAAATATCGAAGCTGCATAATTTCATATTTTTGAAAGTCGACTAGTACTTTGAATGCTGATATCTGTCAATCAATGTCTGAAAGAACCTCTAACCCTCTGCATGCTTATTCTAACGTTACAAAGTTTATGCAAATAGAATTTATAAAAAATTAAAAGCCTAACATCAAAATATCGTTTAGTTATTACGTGAACAATTAAACTTGACAAAGTCTTCAATTCACAGCGAGAATAACACTTTTCCAATTAGAACATCTTCATACAGCATATTGAATACTGTTAAAAAATAAGGTCATGCGATCCATACTCTGAGCAGATGTCGTTTGCTTTGAGCTACGAGTATATCAAATGCTAATTCTTAGATCAAAGACCAGAGAGTTATTTTAAAAAAAGGCCTAAACTTTAATTAATAAATAAAACTTTTCTTCGTTTTATTTTACAGGGCACTGTCCAACATGACCAATTACATCCCAAATTCTTTACCTTTGTAGACACACCTATGAAATTCAAAAACCAGCTCCACCGTACTGCTTAAGTAAAATACATAAACTACTATTTCATTCAGACCTACGATATGTACTGTGAACTGTTTTTTCGAAGAGGTTTTGAAACTGACCGATAAAATGCTCAAACCCTTAACTGGAGGTAACCCATCTCACACCAAAAACTTTCACGAGTTTTGCAAAGAACTGAAAAGAGATTAAGCCAACAAGGGAGCATTATGGTCAATTACGAAGTTCAAGACTTATTTACTAACATACCTGTTAATCTTCCTTTTAAAATAATTGGTGAACTCTTTCAAGACGAAAACACACTAAAAAATGTACTAACCTATCTGTTAACTATATCGTAAAGCTTATAATATTATGTATGGTAGAGGCGAATTAATTCTATTTCGATGGTAGTTATTTCAAACAAACCACAGGAGCACCAATCTGTAACCCACTTTCCCCCATCTTTGCCGAAATTTTGATGTTGCCTTTTTGAAAAAAGTTACTCAAGACATGAACCCAGACCATTTTTGAGGGTTTTCAATCGATATACTACCGATATTTTTGTTACCTGTCCATGACGAAAACAACTTACCAGACCTCCGCAATAGCCTATTCCCTTAAAATATCGAATTAACTACTGCATGTGACCCTGATACCCAGATGACGATGACAGCAACAACATTCGGTGATGTAAGGATCATGTTCTAAGATTGATCTAAACGAAACAAAGGGCGGTTCAAATTGAGCTGCATCACTGGGATCAACAAATTCCTGTTCATAGGCTGGTGACGAAAATGACCTTCACGGCAACAGGCAAATCAGATATGTGATTTCTAAATGTCAGATGTCGCAAATGTGGGACACTCTGCTGGTTAAGCTCTGGTAACCCTTGATGACGATGACAACGAAAAAACTTTCAAAGCATGTCTTCGATGGCAAAAACCATTACTGTAGCAGGTAAATTTGATCTAGACTCTCCAACACTAACTGTGATTATTGAAATTCTGAAAGCTAAGCAAGTACAAAAAAATTTCCATGTTTCGTACTGTCTCACGATACTTTGGCTAGAAGGAGAAACAAAAACAACGCAAATATGTTTGAAATACAAAAAGAAATAAACATATTATTTGGTCTTCATCATAGCAAACAAATGTTAAAAAACTAGCAACTCCTGAAGACCTGAAAAAGTAAATCGAAAACCAAAAATTTGTTGAAACGAAGATGACAGACAAGTTACTAAGATCCGTAGATTCTAATGCTATATAAGCCATTATTAAGTGGTAAGTTAAACTCCGAAATAATCCGTGGCATTAATTCAACATTGGCAATATACCGGTTGAATGCAATCGTCAAAAAATCCTGCTTTTCACTTAGGCCAAAAAAAGGAATGAGCTAAAATTATTATGACGGAGAGTATAAAGGTAAATACAGTCAGAGACAACGATGTCCCAGCATAAAACAACAAATTTTCGATTACATTCACAGACCTTTGCAGCGATCTGGAGTCATCAACTTAACTCCATGCCCGAATTGCTCGCAGAACATGTTCAGTACATCAAAGTGAAACAATAATTAACTAATTGTTGAACTCATACTACTAAGCAGAAATACACACTTGTAGCATTAAATCGGCAATGCAAAAGACAGCTGCATCTGGAGACAGAGGTACGTTGACGAGGAAAACAGAAACTCCATCAGATACATCGACGCACGCTCCAATGATAAATGCCATTCTCTTCTCAAGGCTAATTAAAACATGCTCGGAATTCGTCCTTGACAAGTTTCCAAACTACCGTCATTTAGATAGATAGGTGTTTAAACGATTCATGGCTAAGGGCATCAAATACAGCAGATCGTACAATATGCTATTGTCCACGAGTTTTGTTACATGTGCAGTGACTTCATCAAGACGAGGCTATGTATAAATGAGTGCTTGAAAATACTCATATTAGACAAGCAAACGGTACTTCAGAATAAAAATGTTATACAACGCACTGATTTAGAGTGCTAACCGACAAACAGTGTGAAGTTCTGGAATTAAAATATTCGGCAGCATACGATGGCAATGCCATAAAGGGCAGATGACAGTGTTTCTAAATTCGAGCCTGCCTTTTAACTATCCTCCTTTATCTTCCGGGATTAGAGCCGTAAAGGGTATTCAAAACAGAGCGTCTCATAGGCGACTGGATTTAGATAAGAGGTTGCATTCCTACGGTATTTTAAACAGATCCCTATTGCGTGATAACACGACCGCAATACAATGTAGTTTTCTTTGAATTCACTCTAGTTTCCTTTAAGCTCCTTCTACTTTCTGTCAGGGTTTGACGTTCTATTCATCATATATTGGATGAGACGACGAACTTCGACATTTTCTAATTTTAGTGCACGAACCGCACTGTAGAGAGACAAAACTGCCATGATGGCCTGACTGAATTCTGCTACAACCACTGTTACATTCAGAAGGTTGTGACTTTCACGAATGCATATAATCGGGACTGATTGGCAGAAAGTTACACGATATGAAAGAATTTTGCGTTGTTTTTCATTGTTATGTGAGAGTCGGTCCTTCACGTGTCTCTTGTTCTTGAATGGTTGGTCTAAGGTCAGTTTCTCCCTGACAGAGTACAAAAATTTCCTACAGAAACGATAGATTAAATATGATTACGAAAAATGAATTCTCAACTAAAGACAATATTTTCTCAATGCAAGAAGTGCCGTAAAGTCGAATTTTTTCTTCGTCGCCCTGTTTGGCTTAAGGCAATTTACCGCCACATTTACGAATAATTTTTATATGATTTCTTATTTCATAGATTTAGATATTACAATGTATTGTAGCTCTTGCAGAACGAATACTCACTTGAAGCTGTCAATCTGCTGTTTATTGACTATTTGGCATTAAGCTGCTATCTGTGTGCATGAACACTGAAAGATTTCCATGCATATATTTTGTATGAATTTTCATCCATTTTTTACAGCTGTGAAATGGTCAGTGCTAATCAGTATTTGCTTCCGTCTGTGCATATGTCAATATTGTTGCACCATCTGGGACGAAATGCACTGCCTCTTCATGTTGTGAAGGCAAGCAATTCAGCAGTTATTCAAATTACATATAGTTAAACGCACTAATACGCAATCACGATATTCTATCCTCCGACCAAGGACGATGATTTTCACGCAGCATCGGGAAAGGAAACACCCATAAAATTTACCATACATTAGCATCTTGCGTTTTGAGACGTTTATTCGTGCCTCATAGTCTACCATGTTTCAGTGCCTTTGTACCTTACTGAGTGGCAGTGAATAATTTTTTCTCTATTACAGTAGAAACTATCCTCAGGCACAGCAAGTGTAAGATTACTTGTATTTTCTAAGTATCAGTGCCAATATATTGAGTTTCTCGCATTACAAATTACTGTTTGGTCAACGCGTTTGGAGACGCAAAATATTTTAAGCGCGCATTCACAACATTCTGAACATTGAATCTATTTTCCTCTTCATCCTGAGAATGCGTAAACTTTCTGCATGTACGGCAGTTTCACATTTTCTTCGGGATAGAGCCGTCTGACCTATTATTATTCATTTTGTGAATTGTTACGGCTACTGTGACAACTAGGTTTATTTCATTTCTTTTGCTTCTGTTGCTGAATGCCGTTTCGCTGTCTGTTACTGATGCCCTTTTGACTGTGGGATGCAATCAAAACGCTACAATTCATTACCCACGTTAATATAAGGGTGTGTCAAAATTTCTGAAAAAAAAAACAAACTCGAAACTGAAATGGATTTTAACATTCCAGAAGATATTTTCATTTGAATAAAAAACTTGTACAATATTCAATGTTATTTAAATGGAAAACGATTTCTGCACGACCAAAATTCACGGCGCACTGTACTGCTTCTTTGTTTATGGCCATCTCAGCAGGCTGTGGATCCACGGCGACACAGCTTATGATGTTACTTAATTGATATATTATCTATTAAACGCAAAACGATGAAAAATATTAGCTGAGTTTCGAAGAAAACACAAGCTGTACAACATTCTTGCATACCTAATGTATATACATTCTTAATGACTGCAATAATAGTGACAAATTTCAATAAAAATATAAGGATATATCGTTAAAAGCACACTAATATAAGTTAAAAACAATTGTCTTGGAAGATAAGTTTCAGAAAT